TTACTTTCTTGTCTGAAGTTAGCGTATCTTTTGTGAACCAATTTTATAATATGTGACGTATAAAAAGTGAAACTTGGCTGTACATATCACTTTCTATCATGCATCGTGATGAAAGCAATGGAACCGCGATTATCACGCGATCGTTATTAGAACAATAACTCTTGTATCTTAATTTACATCATTTATTTCACTATGGCCAAATGATTTTTTTTTTATTGCTTAGATGGGTAGACGAGCTCACAGTCCACCTGGTGTTAAGTGGTTACTGGAGCCCATAGACATCTACAACGAAAATGTGCCACCCTTGTGATATAAGTTCTAAGGTCTCAAGTATAGTTACAACGGCTGCCCCACCCTTCAAACCGAAACACATTACTGCTTCACGGCAGAAGTAGGCGGGACGGTGGTACCTACCCGTGCGGACTCACAAGAGGTCCTACCACCAGTGAATATTTCAGGAAAGTATGCAGCAGTAAGCAGTAGGTGTGTTTGCTCGTGGTATAACTGACATCCATGAGTGATGGTGACCACTGCCCATCAGGTGGACTGCATTTTCGTCTGCTTACAGTGGGAATAAAAAAGGTGAGGGATATGGAAGAAATTTTTTGAGGTTTTTGTTAAAAGGTTTTTAGCGGTGCTCACTGGTGATACTAAGTAATTCCGGAACCTTTTGAACTTCATAAAAGGAAAGTTGAACATTTAAGTGAAAGCCAACTCAAATTTGGAAGAGTGCGAGCTCGGATACTTAGGTTTTATCAACTGTATCATCTCTCGTCGAATAGAAAGAGTTCAGGAAAGAAACATTTAAAACTCTTATCGATACGTAATGCAGATAAAACTGAATGTAAGAAAATTATGATGAACTTTTTCCCTAGAAGATCATAACATTTTCTGGTGATAGTTGTAATATAATGATATGATTTAAACATATAGTTATATTAATAAATAAAGAAGAAAAGAAAAAAGACGGAAAGAGATGTGCTGGGCGAAGGAAAAAGTCATGGCTCCGGAATATCCGGGAGTGGACCGGTATTGCCTCCGTCGAACAGCTGTTCCGGCTGGCTGCTGACAGAAAGGAATACAGGAAGCTAACGGCCAACCTTCAGGATTGAAGAGGCACTGGAAGAAGAAGAAGAAGAAGAATAATAAATAAATATTTACTAACAATCACGCCATTATAATATTAGGTAACTATTATATGATTTTTGCATGTAAACATCTCTAGCTTAGCCAGGTCTGTTGTATAGAATTATATTCGCTTATGCACTATTGTTCTTGGAAAGAAACGTTTCACTATGTCTACTTTTGGAATTTTTGCCTCCTTGAATAACAGCCTATGCGCGTTGAACAGAAATAATCATCTTCGATCATAAGCTTCGGCAACGCCATGAGTATAAGTCACTGTGGAAACAATTAGTTTGCTCCATTAAAAAGTAATGAAAATTTATATTAACTAATCAGGTACCCATACCTTTTACAAGAACAATAAAATTTGATTGTTTTGTTTTGCACAATGTTATTACCCAGTTCCTACTTTGTAAATATTACCTGTTTTATATGGAGTTATGAATGTAATAATCTCAAATCGTTAAAGGCATTAGGTCGGATCTCGACGATTTCAACTGTTTTTAGTTTATTGCATAGTTGCATACGGTGGTAGGTCGTTCCACCAGGCCAAATACATCATGGCATAAATGCCGCCACCCACTTTGAGACATGAGATTGTAGTATCAATTGAATTGTGCTAATGAAAATTTAATTCATAATAATTAATTAATTAGAATATGTAGTTAAGAAATAAAAAAAGCACTCTTAAATAGATAGATAATGGAACTAACAACTTTTCTTTCCTATTCTGTTAATGATTTAAATTTATATTTTTTTATTGCTTAGACGGGTGGACGAGCTCACAGTCCTGGTGTTAAGTGGTTACTGGAGTTAACACCTGGTGTTAAGTGGTTACTGAAGCCCATAGACATTTACGATGCAATTGCGCCACCCACCTTGAGATATAAGTTGTAAGGTCTCAAGTATAGGTAACTAACGGCTGCCCCACCTTTCAAACCGAAACGCATTACTGCTTCACGGCAGAAATAGGCAGAGTGGTGGTACCTACCCGTGCGGACTCGCAAGAGGTCCTACCACGAGTAAAAAAGTAAATAACTAGTCAGGTCATAAGTATTGTCACACAGTAAAAACTTTTCTTTTAGAATGCTGGCCACAAAATAGTTTATTGAATTCGAATTTCGAATTGTTCATGAAAATAAAAATGTATACTTTTAGAATTTTACTCATTTTTAAATATGGAGTGGACGCTTAAAGAAGACCGTGTTGCAGTTATTGCGTTGCATCGTTGCGGTTACGCGCCAATTCAAATTTTTAACATACTGAAAAATTTGAATATAACCAAAAGATTCGTTTATCGTACCATCAAACGATACAATGAAGACTCTAGTGTAGATGACAGGTCAAGAAGTGGTCGCCCTCGGTCTGTTAGGACTCCAGCAGTGATAAAAGCTGTGAAGGCGCGAATTCAAAGAAATCCCAAACGTAAGCAGAAACTGTTGGCCCTTCAGATGGGGTTAAGCAGAACCACGGTGAAAAGGGTGTTAAATGAAGACTTAGGGCTTCGGGCATATCGAAGAAAAACAGGACATCGTTTGAATGCTCGTCTAATGGACCTGAGACTGAAGAGATGCCGCGCTTTGTTGAAGCGGTACGCGGGAAAAAAATATCGGGAAATTCTTTTTTCGGATGAAAAAATTTTTACCGTAGAAGAGAGCTACAACAAACAAAATGATAAGGTGTACGCACACAGTAGTGAAGAAGCGAGCAACCGTATTCCGCGTGTCCAACGAGGTCATTTTCCATCCTCGCTCATGGTATGGTTGGGAGTTTCTTATTGGGGCTTAACAGAGGTACATTTTTGTGAGAAAGGTGTAAAAACGAATGCAGTTGTGTATCAAAATACAGTCCTGACGAACCTTGTGGAACCTGTTTCTCATACCATGTTCAATAACAGGCACTGGGTATTCCAACAAGATTCGGCGCCAGCTCATAGAGCGAAGAGCACACAAGACTGGCTGGCGGCGCGTGAAATCGACTTCATCCGGCACGAAGACTGGCCCTCCTCCAGTCCAGATTTGAATCCGTTAGATTACAAGATATGGCAACACTTGGAGGAAAAGGCGTGCTCAAAGCCTCATCCCAATTTGGAGTCACTCAAGACATCCTTGATTAAGGCAGCCGCCGATATTGACATGGACCTCGTTCGTGCTGCGATAGACGACTGGCCGCGCAGATTGAAGCCTGTATTCAAAATCACGGAGGTCATTTTGAATAAACTTTAGTGTCATAAGAATCTATGTTTTGTTAAGTTTATTTTGGTATATGAATGGTTACATAATGAATAAACTTGTTTCAATTATTTTACATTAAACATGTGACAGAATTTATGACCTGACTAGGTATTAAAGAGGAGTTATTAAAATTATTTAATTATTGTCATCAATCCTTGGTGCGTGTGAAAATTTTCAAGTACCTTGGACGTCGGTGAAAATGACGTTCAAAGATTCTGTTACTAACAATCAAATATATGTACATATATAGCAAATTAACAAAAGCGCTTAAAGAATATCGATTTTAAGAGCGCAATGAACACAAAAATGATTCTCGCGAAATAGACATAATTGCTTTAGATGGATAGTTTAAAACTTATTACACGACTCGATGTCAATCTAGCCATGTCCAACTCAGCAAAAGCCACTACGTACAAAACTAGACTTGAATGCTAATTGAAAGAAAATGTTATAGTACAAGACAGATTCCAAACAGTCCATAGATATTCATTATCCTCCACTGGTATTAGGGCAAGGAACTTTTTCTTAATTTGTTTTTATATATTTTTTGTTTGGGTTTAGGTTTTATTATTAGAGTTTTATTTTTTACTAGCGACCCGCCCTCGCTTTGCTTCGGAAACATAACATTTTATTATTGATAGGCGAGCCCCGCCATGTTGCGCGCGGTACGTTACGACAATAACTGTGGGTGACGCCGCAGGGCAAAGCTAGTCTAAAAAAAGTAGCCTAAGCTACTCCTTATATTATCAGCTACCTATTAGTGAAAGTCTCATCAAAATCGGTCAAGCCGTTCCAGAGATTAGCCGGAACAAACAGACAGACAGACAAAAATTGTAAAAAATGTTATTTTGGTGTATGTACCGTATATACTATATTCATATGCATGTAGTAAAAAGCGGTTATTTCAATATTACAAACAGACACTCTAATTTTATTTATATGTATAGATTTGTACTTTAGTACAGGATTGTAACACCGGAATAATCAAATCGCTGGATATAAGTAATATATTAGGCACTAAGTATTTTCTTTTTTCATTTCTGTTAAAAATGTGAAAATTATTGAGCCGATTGCGAATAGGTTAACTGCATTTTGATATTCAAACTTAATTTCCTTGCTCTGCACGTACTATAATAACAGGATCCCAAGGCAGACGCTGAACTAGTTAAAAAGGGATAGCTATATGTCTTAGTATTGAAGTGAGAATGCGACGGGTGTATTAGGCAGCCTTTCGCCGATCGGGCAGAACGCATGGACGTAATAAAATTATTGTTTTTAAATTCAATTTAAATACATGTGTACATCACAATCAATTTGATATTAACAAAACTTCTTACAATGCGCAATAAAATTGAGTAGTCTTCCTTTATTTGCAGAACTTCTAATCTTCTATATATGTATATAAAAATGAATTGCTATATATACTAGATACTATAAAATATGGTTATGAAATCGAAGCACAATTTCGTAATGTCATCCTAAAGTTCTCAAAAGTACAGTTTAAATATATAATACAGACAGATTATTATTATTAAACTTTTAATGTTTAACAAAATAACTTCGACTCACACCAATGTGTACCAAGAACTACTTTACGTAAACTGTATATCGTCCACGATTGAACGACAGAGCGAAGAAAAAGTTAATAGCATTGCGGCTGAGTTGTGCGCGGTCGTCACTCTGGCATAGATATTTTGACAAGTCACAATAAAGTCACTTATAAGTGACATTTAAGTGATAGGCCCTAGTGATAAGCAATCATGGTTAATTTTCGGGTAGCTCTCGCATTTGTAGCGTGCTTTATTGGTGAGTAATTTAGCGTGTAAATATTGTAATGGTTCGTTAAGATAAATTTGATTCAGCTGATAGATAATTCAGTTTTAACGATATTTGGTTTTAGTTTTTCATTTACTTACAATTTAATTTAAAATTAATAAATATATACTAGTAGCTAATTACTAATTAAAATTTCGATGATATGTCTTTGAAAAAGTTATTGTTATAGTGATAAATTTTTGATGTCTTCATTACAGCTTTGTCACACTTTTTACTGTTACTTGTAGCATATTAAAACTTAAGTTAATTTGGAAATCGTCTTGTTCATTTCAAAAAAGAAGCATCATATTCTTTATAAGAAAATATTATGTAACCAATCTCAGCTCTCAGTTTTTTATGTGTTGTATTTCAATGTTTACACTAAAACAAAGCCGTCTATATTATATTGTGTTTAATAATTAGTCCGTGGACCTGTTTATGGTAAACGAATTGTAATTAATCGCTTTTATCTATTTCATTGCTGTGTAGTTATTCCAAAGTAACACCATGTTATACATTTATGAAAAGAAAGTCAAGTTCGATCTGTTTCAGTATAGTATGCGGAAGGCAGTATCCTTTGTTATTAAAAACGGACACTGAAATATTTCCCATTTCATAACATAGATATATATGGTTTTTGTCTCAAATAGGGTAGAGGCGTTCACGATTTAATGTCTGCGCGCTTCGGGGGCCGCTTAGCCTCAGACGGAGTGTGAGTTTGTCTGTAAAACCCAGCCCAAAATAGTGCCGTGAGGTTTAACCTTTAAACAAATTACATATTTTTACTATTCAATGCAGACGCGATATTGTTATTGCTATATGTCAAGTAAGTGGACGGCCTTGATGTCTGCAATTACAATTCTTATTACATTTGAAATATGTTTAACGGTTATTGTTAATTATATATTTGAAAATTCAATTCTAGACATAGGGGACAAGACGTTGGGTAAATGGTTGGGTAATTTGACCTGGTCTAATTACCAAACATGCTTAATGATTTAATTAACAAGAGTTTAATGACTTCATTAACAAGAGTATATTCGGTATTCAATTTATCAAAAAATAAATAGTATGAAGTTACTATTTACAATTAATAAGGTAATTGTTGCAAAAACTACGTACTTAAATATGGAGATTGATTACAAAATATTTAGTCACTTATGTTTCATACAACAGAAGACATAAACACCCTTTCTGTCCGTAATTCACAAATATTGCTATAGTAGGTCGTCTTTAAAAGACAAAACAAAGTATCTGATCTGATGTCAGAATGGAAAAAAAAGGGAATCTAGTTTGTTATGCTCCTTCGATCTTATGTAACACCGAAGGAGCCATGAGCGCTGTATCCAAAAACTAAACTTTTGACGTCACAGTGTTCAAAACCTCAGAGATAACAGATAAAGGAGTATGGCAATGATTTCTGATTTCTCTATTACCTAACAGTTGTGGACTTTTTATACGAGACGAAAGTCAGAGTGTCAGACTTTATTTAGTACACTTTTCCTTGGCTTCGATGACAGACGAACGCACAGTTTACCTGATGGCGAAATAACATTATGAATCATGGACATTATCAATACCAGGCTTGCAATCAAGTCACCGCCAATCAGAAAAATGTGCTAGTCTGCTTAAAGCTTCGCAGTATGTTTTTATTACGGCCCATTTAATTGGAATCTGTTCAGCTATTCAATACATTTTACACGATTTGGGGCGTATTCTGACTTCACATGGTAAGATATAATGAATGTGAAAGTCTACCTACTTTAAGACATGTCGAACGGATATCTGTTCGTTGCAGAAATAAAAAGAATGGAGGGTAACTTCGTACAACACGCTTTTTAGTAAGTAGGTACTAGCGGCCCGTTCCGACTCCGCTCGGGTCTTTAACAAAAATTTCAACGATATTAGACGTTGATTTATTTTTTTAAATAAAAGAGCATTTCTTGCATTACTAAAATAATTGGCACTACTAATACTAATACTGGCATTACTAAAATAATTAGACATATGCTGTCGCGACACTTTTTGTGAATAATAATGTGTTCTACAAAGTCGTAGTACATTATTTTCTTCTATCATCAATAGTTTTCGCAGGGCACGCGATTGAAAGAATATTTTAGGTAATTTTTTTACACCTTGGGTTACATTATTGGAGTTTTAGTAAGGATTATTAATTTTTTTCAAAAAGTATTATGACCTATGTCACTCGGGAATACTGTAGCTTTCAAACAGTGAAATAATTTTTCTAATCGGTTCAGTAGTTTGAGAGCCTATTCAATACAAACAAACAAATAAATCTTTCCTCTTTATAATATTAGTGTAGATTAGTATAGATAAACAAAAATATGCTAAGCATTCAATATGTGGTAATAATTTTACTAAACGTAACTTAATTTACGACTGCACATTAACTGCGTGCATGAACAAGAACGTGTACTAAGAAAAGTAGTTCGCATTGAACGAGGTCGGGCACTTCCTGAACTAAGTTCAATGTTGCGAGAAAATACACAGGAATTTAAGGACATTTACTTGACTCAGCTTTAATATACTGACATCTCAACTAATTGAACCAGACCAGCTCAAAGTCAACTTGATGATAAATCTTGATCATTCGACGTGACGATATCAAACATAATTATAAAGAAACTGTGGATAGTCAAAAGAAATTCAATTAAAGCATCGACTGGTTAGAGCTTCGTGCTGTACAAAATGAAATAATTTGCAAAAGGTTACTCATTTTTGCAGTAGTGACGTCAGCACAGTCACCTAAAGCCAGAAAGAAGCCTGCCAACCCCCCAGCTCGTGCCAGAGAAGAGAGCGAGGCTGACCCGGAGATCACGAACTTATGTCCTGAAGATGGATACTTTGCTGACGCCGAACAGTGTGACAAATATTATGAATGCAGGTTCGTGTACATTATCTTCCTTTTTCTCCACCTTATCCCACTAGGTGGGGTCGGCACAATATTCGGTGCTCAACACTCACTCCTCCCTCTCTCATATCGTCATTCACACACTCCATCCATGACTTCTTCGCTTGACCTCTTCCCCCTCTACCTTGCACTACCATTTCCATACATCTCTTAGTCACATGCCTCTTCTCTCTACGCATCACATGTCCATACCACGCTAACCGTCTGCTCTTTAATGGGCGGGTTGCTGCCACATTTCTGTGCGAGCTTATACGACCTACCAATTAAACAACGGATTCTAGTAAAAGGTAGTAAATTGAAAAAACGCGATAAATATCACTATTTGGATTTTCTACTTCCTCGATTGAGTACTTGATCGCTAAACTAGGATACTAATGCGTTGATAGAATTACAAATATACCACATGATCAGAATAATAAGCGTGCCGACACTAAACTTTGAATCGAATACAAAACTACAAATCAAACGTGAAGAAAACACAAACGCTTTCGTTCTAAATTTTCGACTTTTTAGTGTCTCTGGCCGAAAATAAATTTTATTCTGCATCAGTTCATTGACTTAGGCTCAGTAGACTTAAGGGAATCGTGTGAATGCCTGAATGCGGATCGAGTAGAAAAACTCAATCCACTATCAGGGAACGAATACGGAAGCTGCATTTCAATAAGTGGACTAGAATATTTGTATTGCACATTAATAAAAATAAAATCGAATACATTTAGTTTTTAATTAGACAACTAAAATGGCGGATGAAAGGCGAGATTGCATGCAGCAGAGATGCGAATGTTGCGATGGATGTGTGGAGTCACGAGAATGGATAGAATACGGAATGAATATGTTAGAGGAAGTCTGAAAGTGGCACCTGTGACAGAGAAGCTGAGAAGTGCGCATTTGGGATGGTGTGGACATGTGATGAGTCGAAATGAAAATGAGGTTGGTAAGAGAATGCTAACTATGAATATGGAAGCATATAGAGGAAGAGGTAGACCTAAGAAGAAATGGATGAATTCCGTAAAAGACGATATGGGTAAGAAGGGAGCGAGCGAAGAAATGGTATATGATAGAAGAGTATGGAAGGAGAAAACGTGTTGCGCCGACCCCAGGTGACTGAGAGAAGGCCAGGATAATGATGACATTTAGTTTTTAATTTGAAAGTATTGGTGGGTTTAGCAAAACTAGCTAACTGAGCATAGTGTTGGCATGTCATAAGTATACTTACGCTGTATGGTCGGTTTGCAACGGTAGGTCCACCACCATTCTGCCTGATTCGTGCATTCCAATGGTTAGACAACAATTATACGATACATTTATCTGTCAAGTATGACATCCTTCTTGTTGTGATTTTTGTTTGCTTCGATAACTATTACTATAACGACAACCATAATAATTTCTATATCGAGAAAAAAAAACTTTTACATTGTACTAATAATATAGATGATGAGTCTCATTTTTAAAACCCGCCCACGTATTGTAAATGTTGAAATCGAAGTTGCCTGCCGAACTATTTACTCTTCGTGTAAATAAATTCATTTAGCCGCGTGAGTAAGCCGGTTGTGCAAAGCTTAAGTACCGTGAAGGTACACATTGTTCGTATGCAAGACTGGTTTACGAAAATTCCCGACCACATTTTTGTACAAACATTTTTAAAATAATGTTTTCACAACATCACTTTGCTATTAATATTACACAAAGAGTAGTCAGACGTTACGTAATAAAACAGACAAAAAAAATAATAACAAAGACACGACGTTCTTTTATTTGAATTAGAACAAATTTTAATTTTCCCTAATTTATTTTATTAAGATTTTGGTGTTTATTTTTATAGGGGTGGTGATATAATTGAGAAACTTTGCCCAGACGGTATGGTGTTCAACGACTACAGTCCACAGGAAGAGAAATGTGATTTACCTTTCAACCTGGACTGCTCTCAGAGACCCAAGCTTCGTGAGTTTCCTACCGTGTCCTTGAGAGCAGAATTATAATTGCTATTATGACCCCTTTACTAATAGAACTTTCGAAGCTGAGTATCTTATTATCATAGAGAATCAATGTGCACAACGGGTGAACGTAAATCAGTATATTGATTTCAATTTTGCTCTGAGACAACCCTACATTCTGTTTCCTCAACACGATATATATTTTTTTGTTTCGACATTTCAAAAGAGTTCTTAATCAAAAATTCTAATAATTTCGAACCAGTTGCTGGCCGTTAATGAGTTAAAACCATTTCGTGAATTCTTTGAACGATTTTACGTAATCCTTAGTTCAAGATAAAAAAATATAACTAATGCATATAGCACAAATAAAACTAACAAAAACGTGCCGATCTCAGCTCACGTGTAACAGAAGCATCAATAGAATACCGATTATATCCAAATAGCAAGACTCGTAGTTGTTGGAAACAACTTTCCAATCTCAAGGGAGCTCTGGCCTTGGTCGTGGTTTGCCACGTTTAGTACTCGCCAGGGTTGACAGAAGTGAAAAATGAGTTAATTTGTAAACAGAATATTATGTTTCTGATTTCAAAACTTCATAAAAATTCAAAACCATCCTTTATTACCGAATGGACATTCAATTTGTGCATAAAAAATCTAAAATATTTAGATTCCGTTAGACAGTTTTATTTAAAAATAAATATTAAAGCATTTGAAGCAGATACCTAATGTTATTATCGACATCAGTATCACTTTCTTCAATATTCGATGCGATGCATACATTAGCTTTATACGTAAATTTTAGATTTTTACGTGTGATTACGGATATACACTACCCGGCGCTTGGAACATTGTGGAAATTTCGGTAAGCGCTTATCGCCGCCTCTAACTATATACCAGACCCAGACGTCGCAAAGTCGCCGTTGCCCTAAGCTCATCGTATCAGATCTTCCCGGTCCACCCTCGGTGCTATTAGGCGCTCCAAGCACTGGTTACCGTTCTTGCCAAGCTCGTCGAATACGACGAAGAGTTCGACGTGCAACCCAACCCGTTGAGTTTCTCGGCGGATCTTCTCAGTGGTTCTCAATTCCGAGCGCCAGGTAGTGAAGCACAGCTTTTGTTAGGGCTAGTGTTAGCAAAGTCCCCCTAGGTTGATTCCCATGAGCTTAATTACCAGTTGGAACTTAACAGTTAGTACTTAGTTGGAATAGCACATCAGGCTACCAATAATACCTTGATAATTTTATAATTTAGTAAATAAATTCAGCATGATATACCTATAGGTATTTATAGGTATATTATATAAAACATATTACCTCTACTATACCAGATTTTATTTCCATATTACATTGTAGAAACACCTCAACCTTCCCTCCACTGTATTCGTCAAAATGGCTACTTCTCTCACGAGGATCCTAAGGAATGCGGTAAATTCTACTTTTGCGTTGATGGGAAATTCAACATGATAACCTGTCCTGATGGCTTGGTCTACAACGACAAGACCGGCATCTGCACTTGGCCTGATGAAGCTAAAAAGAAGGGATGTGGCGCTGCAGGTATGTGTTATTCAAACATGCTCCAAATGAACTTCTGGTTTTTCTGATACTGTATATTCATTTATATACATATTATTTGAGTATATAATAGTGCGAAATAAGGGCCACTAACTCAAAACCAAATGAAATACTTAACAATGTAATGTTATGTAATTATATTATAATAATGTAAATGGGTAAACAAGGTGACGAGCTACCTGATGCTGAGACTTAAAAATATTTACTGTGTATATTTACTGGTGATAGGACCTCTTGTGAGTCCGTGCGGGTAGGTACCACCACTCTCCCTATTTCTGCCGTGAAGCAGTAATGCATTTCTGTTTGAAGGGTGGGGCAGCCGTTGAAACTATAATTGAGACCTTAGAACATATATCTCAAGGTGGGCGCATTTACGTTGTAGATGTCTATCTCCAGTGACCACTTAACACCAGGTGGGCTGTGAGCTCGTCCACCCATCTAAGCAATATTTTTTTTTTTTGTAATGGAATCAATGGAATTCATACAAATGAATACTGCCGCTTATTTTGAGCTCGATGTCTCAATCATATTATAACTGCTTTCTCACCCTTTAATCCAGAAAGCATGACTTTCGTGGAAGAATGGTAGTTGTTGGTACTTACTCGTGCAGTCTTAGGTAACTAAAAATTAATTTTAGATTACGGGAGGAAGGACTCTCTGTCAAACAAAATATATCAAATCTCTTCAAATTTCCACCGGCTTTATATTTTTGGTTCTAAAGAAATTTATATAAATATGTATATTAGTTCATTGATAAGCACTGATAAGTTTTTCAGAAAAACATACAAATTCTAATTAGATTAAGGAAGGAAAGTGCCAAGTAGTAGTAGTGCCAGTACAATCAGATTGCTACACTTGTACAATAATCGGAAAATTCAGTTTAGTACAATTTGGATCAAAATTTATTTCCTCTTATTTTCAGAGGTATTCCAGTTCGAATGTCCGGCTGTTAATGAAACCTTCGGTCTGACCCACCCTCGGTATGCGGACCCTGACGATTGTCAGTTCTTCTACGTTTGTATCAACGGCAACACCCCCAGGAGATCTGGATGCAAGCTCGGACAGGCCTTTGATGACGTCAGTAAGAAGTGCGAATGGGCTAGGAAAGTTCCTGAATGGTGAGACTACATTTGAAATAATAATTTTGATGACAATTACGATCAATGTTAATAGAACTCTATGCATGACCAGGGGTTTGGTCAGGAAATTGCCAATAAGTATTAGGCATTTTGACAAAAAAAAGATATATATTTATTTATTCAACTCAACAACATTTGGATTTTCCCACTATGTATATCCGAGAAAGATAAGAAGATCTATACAAATATCTTTCACAAAGATGCTGAGTCCGATTGGAATTCGAACTGGAACCTTACAGTTTTGAAGTCAAAGTAAGATACGGCTAAAAGAAAATATAGTGACTTCGATATTATTCCGGACCAGCAAGAAAATACTTGAAAAGGCGTATGTGTACAATAACTCTGATATAGATTTCTACATTAGAGACAAATTTATTACACACAACAATATTGAAGCCAGTGTTTTTTTACAGTAAAAAATTCTTCAAAATTACCCTTAGCCTTAGAGCATTTTCAACCCAATTCAAAATCCATCTTTTTCATGTTTGGTTCGATATGTTTCCACTAGTTTCCAGTTTTACAATTATACAATTGAAATACTGCAAACATGGATATATCCTTTATACTAAATGTAAACAAACATTCTCAATGAAGTTTTTTTTTAATTATTCGAAATGTTTCTAAAATAGGACAACGGGAAATCAATCAAGTCAACTACTGAATTTCAAGATATTTGAAAATTTTCTGAAAATTAATAACTATTCATTTTCAGCGCTGAGTGGTACAAAGGGCAGTTGACTGATGCGGAGTTGGATGCCCTCGAGAACCCACCTACTCCGAAACCCAAGCCTGCTGGTAGTCCTTCGCGCCGGAAGCCGCAACGCCCAAGCAAAGGGAAAACAGTTCAAATAGAAGATGAATAGATTATTTGTATCCAATTTTCTGTTTAGGTTTAAATAAATAAAATTAAGTGCCACTTCTCATTCGTATTTTTTTTATGACCTACTTCTTTGTGTAAAGTTCAACTAAAAAAGAGAAACACTATATCGCGGTTATGTGCCATAGATTAAGTAATTACTGGAGTCCATAGACATCGTATGTTGAAGTATTCTTCCTACAACCGGCAGGCAGCTCGACATTTTAAAATGGAAAACATGGTTGCTTTTAGATTCCAGTAATTTAATTAATTTGATTTTTTTTACTTCTTTTCATAAGGCAGATAATACTAATAATATAATAAAAGTCGTCGTGGCCTAAAGGATAAGACGTCCAGTGCATCCGTATTGAGCGATGCGGCGGGTACCAATTTTTCTAATGAAATACGTACTCAACAAATGTTCACGATTGATTTCCACGGTGAAGGAATAACATCGTGTAATAAAAATCAAACCCGCAAAATTTTAATTTGCGTAATTACTGGTAGTAGGACCTCTTGTGAGTCCGTGCGGGTAGGTACCACCACCCTGTCTTTTTCTGCCGTGAAGCAGTGATGAGTTTCGGTTTGAAGGATGGGGCAGCCGTTGTAATTATACTTGAGACCTTAGAACTTATATATCAAGGTGGGTGGCGCATTTACGTCGTAGATGTCTATGGGCTCCAATAACCACTTAACACCAGGTGGGCTGTAAGCACGTCCTCCCATCTAAACAATAAAAAAAAATACAAAACATAAATATTCAGCATCGCAATCTCTATCTCTTCTAGATATAACCAAAGTTAACAATGCATTTCAAATTTGTGAATGTTAAATTAATCAGCCAAAAACTTAAGAAAGAAACCAAGAGAAGATCAAAGACAAAACGAAATTGAAGAAATAGCAAAAGGCGTAATAACTATCTCGACGAAGTGCCTTTTGTTACGTTAGATTTTAATCTTTGAGTTCGAACGATACTATGTATGTGTATGTTATGAAGCTCTCGTAAGGCTCACCGTGGCTCAAAAACATCAGTTATGCCAAGAATATAGCTAAGATACTGTTGAGCGCTGTAGAATTTTTGGGTTTCACATAAAGAGATAAATACTACGCATTTCATTGTTACCTGACGAAGGTCTGTAGAAAGTCATTGGACTACATGGATTATTACTCAAGTTGGCAGTTTCAATAAAATGTCTGTTTATTTTATATGTTTTATTGGTATCAATATTCTCTCTCGTATTTACATTTTCACATCTCAAATGGTATATTTACAGAAATATGCAAAATATATATATTTATGTCTCAGATATAAATTATATGGTAACCTAATATCACGTGGTTATTTTAAATTATTCGGCAACTGATTTGCTCGTTTAAATTTGTAATCATTATTTTCTGTTGGTTATAGGGAAATAAATAGTATTATTTGAGAAGGATCCAATCTCAGAGTAAATAAGTTACGTAAAGCATCACAAAACGAAAACGAACTATGTACGAGTATATTTAAACGCAAGTACGTCATTTCAAATCAAAGTTTATCTCTTTTTTATTTTTGTAGTAATTTTAGTTTTTTATATAGTTTGAATACTTTATAAGAATTTTAATTAATCAAGCGTAGATTTTAATTATCAAATCTTGCAATTCGTTAAATAACAATAAAAGCTTATTGTTAGTTTAGAGAGGCTCTGTTCAAAGATAAAAAAATTATGGACAGTTGTCGTTTTCATTTTGCAATACAGTTGAAAGGCAATTACGCGCGACCGCAATGAGGAACGATCTCTGGATCTTCACAGGTCAGGTTCTGATCATCGAACACTTTTCCTTCTTCGCAGGTGATAAGACGGGGCTGACCCTCCACGCAGGTGATGAGCCTGTGACAGTCTCCAGGTACGGGGAAGCGGGGGAACGGCCAGAACTTAGCCGATGGAGTGTTCGCTGGTACTTTTGATGGGCATTTGAAGCCAACGACAGCTGAAAGAATAATAATTTTTTTACCGTCGAAACTTCTAGACAAACTGGTTAATTTTATGCTGATCATTACAGGGACGGCCACAAAAATTCCATTGCTGAGGGATCTTCTACAGATTTTCAAAGCCACTTTGAATATTTGATGTTAATATTAGTTAATCCTGTAGTTTGACTATTAGTTCGTTATCAGTAACGTGGATTCCTAAGAAAAGTACGTTCTGAATGCAATATGTAACTATTATTCAACAACGAAACCATATAGTTCATGGGGACTCTTTTATTACGCGGTTTTCATTTCAAATAATCAAACACTTTAATACTGCGGTTAGGAGGTGACTAAGTCGATTTAAATTAGAAACCGGTTGGGTTAGCCGAAGACACACGATCAAGGAAAAGGGTTTTCATGTTTTCTTGTTATTGTCAGGTGAGATTTTATTATAGGCAGGCAAACGTACGGCCCACCAGAATTCGAGTGGTCATCATCACTCATGGACGACCATAGTACTGGTAAAACCGCTGCTTATCATTTACAATGAAGATGTGTGAAAGCATGTATGTTGGTTTGTCTTTTTTCCTGAAGCAACTGACAAGACATGATTTTTTTCAAAAAACCATATTTTCTAAAAAATCTTTTAGAAGATATATAACTCAATACAATTCAGAGATTTCGGTTTGACAACAAGATTTGGACTTACCCTCGGGGTTACAGAAGGGTTGGAGGAGATCAGGCCAGTTGCAGCTGTGACTGCGCTCATCGTAGACCAAGCCTGGGGTGCAGGGAAATTGTTCCGGGACACCATATGCGCATTTAATGTAGCTAGTGGAGCACTCGTGGCTATCTGGGTAAATACCGAATTGGTATTCGCATCCGGGTGTTGATAGAGGTTCCACTGTGGTAAAGAGCATATATAACTTGTATTAATAAAATCATAGAGACTTGGTCAAAGCCGTAGTCAAAGGGGTCAGTTTAGCCGCAATCTCATCTGTAATTTTTACGTTGTATGTATTTTATCAGTGAATGAGCACATGGTCCATCTTAGATTCAGTGGTTACTGAAATCGGAGTGTTATAATAGGTAGTATAATAATATGAATACCGCCATTCACTCTGAGAATTGAGGTTGACGTCTCAAGCGGATTGAACGACAGCTGTCTCAGTGTTCAATCTGGAATGCCTGAATGCTTAATATCAAAACGAGTAAGATTGTAGTCCCCAAATTTTGCGGGTTTTGGTTTTTCCTTCTTCGTGAAAGTTGTTCGTGAGCACGTGTTAGGGACACTTTTTCTTTAAATTGGTACCTGTTTGCGGTATTTGAACACTGGCACTATGAGTATTGCTTGATATGAGTACACCCTACGATTAATATTTTTAGGTACGTTGCACTTTTCTAGATTTTACAGCTTAGATATAGATTTTTATTTATTTATTGCTTAGATGGATGGACGAGCTCACAGCCCACCTGGTGTCAAGTGGTTACTGGACATCTACAACGTAAATGCGCCACCCACCTCGAGATATAAGTTCTAAGGTCTCAGTATAGTTACAACGGCTACCCCACCCTTCGAACAGAAACGCATTACCTACTGCTTCACGGCGGAAATAGGCGGGGTGGTGGTACCTACCCGTGCGGACTCACAAGAGGTCCTAGCACCAGTGATTACGCAAATTATAATTTTTGCAGGTTTGATTTTTATTACACGATGTTATTCCTTCGCCGTGGAAGTGAATCGTGAACATTTGTTGAGTACGTATTTCATTAGAAAAATTGGTACCCGCCTGCGGGATTCGAACACCGTTGCATCGCTACATACGAATGCACCGGACGTCTTATCCTTTAGGCCACGACGACTTCGATGTGTCGAACGTGATAAGGACTTGATTGTTATGGTAGACTTGATCATCTCGCTTGTTTCGGTCACGAGGCAATGATTCTTTTCATAGGTCTCATAATTATAAATCCAATACAGTAGGAATTTCGGGCATGAGTTGTGTTGCACCTTCACTCTTTTGTATCTTCGAATGAGGGCTGAGTTTTTACGTCTCCTTTGGAGGCGCTCGGGTAGCTGTTAGCTAATCTCACCCCTCCTGGTTTAGCCCTTGCTCACCTACCTGTCCTGGTGAAACTGGAAAGGTCTCTGGGCCAGAATTAATCACTCACACGTAAAAAAAAGATGTGTGGTGTCGTGGGACACCGGATAGGAACGAAGTTCCTTATTATAAAAATATTAATTTTAAGTTCTATTCGAGGTATAAAGAAAATAAAACTGGAGATCATTCCCATCAACTCACGATCATTCGGTAACGTGCGAACTTATTGTGGTACACTTCATTCCCGGTTGTTTGCATAAGAGTTAGTGTATTGCGCAAACGAATGCTCTGAGATCGTGGTCAATGAATGATAAAAAAATATGTTATTTTTTGTACGTTATTACAAAGTTAAGTCGTATACTGTGTGCATTACTAATAAAAATCTTACGTTACGGACGTTTTTTTTCAGGTTAGGGTACCCCTCCGCATCGTCCCATAAGGAACTTCGTTTCAAAAATGGTGACCTGAAAATTTAAAAAGATACTCTAATAAAAATATCCTTACAATTCGCTGTTCTGTGACCACAATCAACAGCCCAATTATAGTTGCAGTGGTTGTGAACTGCACCCTTTCCGTCGAAGAGAAGCCCGTTCTCGCAGGTCTCTACGGTGAGCGTGCCGTTAGTGCAGAGAAAGAATTGGTCGCACTGCTCGGGATGCGCATATGCCTGAAATCGAACATGAAAACTTTCAGGGTAATTATTTTGACTTTAACCCGACCAATTACTGGTCTTTTGCTGGTAGAACGTACAGTAATCTCACGAGAATTTTTCTCGCTACCTAATCTTTGATAGCATAGGGGCTATTCCAACTACGTATTAAACAGTAGGCAGCGGCTTGGCTCTGCCCCTGGCATTGCTGAAGTCCATGGACGACGGTAACCATTCACCATTAGGTGGGCCGTATGCTCGTCTGCCTACAAGGGCAATAAAAAAAAAACGTACTGGTTTGGTAAGTGAGTTCAAGGGACTCAATCCGGGAAGATCCGGCGAGGAACTCACTGGGTTAATCACACGGACAAAGACCATTATTCTAAGTATTTCTAAGAAGAAGCCTTGTCTTATGATTGAAACGGCAAAGTTCGCATTATACTCTAATCAATTGTGACCTTTTTTTTTCGGGTAGGGCGCCGAACCTCCTACGAGGTCCCCGCGCAAAAGGGGCGCGCGGGGTATGTGAGACTTGTGAGACTCAACGGTCTGCATGGTGTTGTGAGCAGACCGCGGGCCCAAGGATTTTAGGGCCCACCACTAAACGACTCCCCTGCACTCTTACACCCGACGTCCGATCCCCTCCGAGGTCAGAACCCGGATGAGGTAGGGGGGCTACCGCGGTCAACACTACAACCAGACGGCGCGGCTCACCCCAAGGACGCCCAGCCGACGGAGCCTTCGAGGCGAATCGAAGGCTCTAAAACGTCAGCCGTCTCGGTACGGCAGCCCGTCGGGCCGCCCAGACGGTGCCGCTGGTGTCCCGGAATACCCCGCTGGACCAGAACCAGCCTGCCGGGTCGGGACGCGATACACCGTCGACCGGTCGCTCTATTCACTCCACGGCAGCGCGCTAGAGTGCTGGTAGCGCGCCGCGCGGCCTCACCCCCTCAGGTCGCCCCTTGACCTTCACCGGGGGGAGGCCGCCACCTACAGGGGCCGGGACGTACGGGCGTATTCCCGCCTCCGGCCCCCGGCTCGACGGCGACGGATCGGTGCGGAAAGGGAAGAGCTCTCCCTCTCTCGCTCCGCCGCCTCCTTCTGCGAGATGGTGGACTCGCAGAAGTCGAGCATCGCCTTCCAGGACGCGTCGCTGCCGAGCATCGTAGCCACGACGCGCGGCAGCGAGAGGTCCTCTCCTATGACCGCGACGAGGGCGGCGCGTTGCTCGTCGAATCCAGAGCAACGCGCCAATGTGTGTTCCGCTGTGTCTTCCTCGTCGCGGTCCGCGCAGTGGTGGCACTGCGCCGTCGGTTCCCTTCCGGCTATCTTGAATAGGTACCGGCCAAAACACCCATGGCCGGTCAACATCTGCGTCAGCCGGAAGGTGAGGCATCCGCGGTCGCGGCCCACCCAGTCCGCGAGAACCGGGCGGACCGCCTCGACGGTACGGAGGCCGGCCGACGGGTCCGCCAAGCGGCGAGACCACGCCTCCAGCACGGACCGCCGAGATTGGAGCCTCCGCGCTCGAACTACTCCTTCGCCGGGGCGCCCTTCCCCCCTAGAGCGGAGGTCGCTACGCCACCGGTAATCGGCAGCGAGCGCCTCCGCCTCCAGGTCCCAGGGTGGCGCCCCGGCGAGCAAGCACGCCGCCTCGAAGGAGACGGTGCGGTATCCTCGGATCGCCCTGACCGCGATCGCGCGCTGCGGACGTCGCAGCGCGGCGACGTTCTGGCGGGTCAGGGCGTGGCACCATACGGGAGCCCCGTATAGTGCCATCGACCGCACCACCCCCATGTAGAGGCGGCGCGCCACCTGATCGGGACCCCCGACGTTTGGAAGCAGCCGGCTCAAAGAGCCGGCCGTCGCCATCAGTCGAGGGCCCAACTTCGCAAAGTGAGCGCGGAAGTTCCACCGACCATCCAGTTCAAGGCCGAGGTACCGAAGACCGGTCACCCCGACCCCGACGCGGACGCCTCCGATCACGAGGTGGGCACCCACAGGCGGCGCTCGTCCCGGCCCGTGAAACATCAGGGCCTGGGTTTTGTCGAGCGCCACCTCGAGCCCCAACCGTCGGATCCTAGTGACGACGTGTGCCACGCCTGCGCACGCCAGACGGGCAGACTCCCGGTAGTCCCTCCCCGGAGCCACGACCAACGTGTCGTCGGCGTAACAGATTACGCTCAGCCCGGGTACAATTTCGAACTACGTTTAGATTTGTTTTATGCACTAGATAGTTGAACAAATACGCAGTTCACCTAGTATTAAATGGTTACTGCGGCTCATGGCCATATGAAGGCGTAGAATATGATCTTGTAATTTAGTGAAATCAATTAAGGACCGTATGAGAAGACACCTTATACAAGAGGAAGTGAGGACGACATGTGTAAGAATGGAGTGAGCGAAGAAATGGATAGGATAGAGGAATGTTGAAGGAGAAAACATGTTGGAACTTGAAGAAATACAGGAGAGAGAGTACTTGTACTTGAGAGAGAATAGTTTAAATTACCTGGACACCGTATTCTTCCGGGCATGGTGGAGCGTGCTCCAGAAGTATTCCCGCGTTAGCTGAAAGTGAGCAATATAAATGTGCTTAATTTAATTTTGGTTATGAAAGTGCATACCGTGAAAGGGCTTTATAAGACAGACAAACTGCCCAAGTGACGTTACTGGAGTATGGTAAGCAGAGCCTAAAGCAACCACAATGAAAATATCAGCGCTCATTACAAGGTCCCAAGTCACATGTTTACAAGACTATCTCTATAAATAGTGATTTTCTTATTTGATAAATTTCCCTATTTTATTCGACAGGTATTCAACATTTGGAAAATAAATAAAAAAGTTCATCATTCAAACATTTGTAAGAAAAAGAAATTGCCAACATTAACCCTAACTCATACTACTTCAGAGTAGTTAATAGTTAAAATATCGCAGAGTACCTGTAGAGAGTATAGTCTTAAGAAAATATATAGGTACTTAACACGTATACATCGGCGACTTTTACGATGAAGTAAATAATAACTTAATATAATCAAAACGAACACACTTATTTTTAACCTTACATTGTTAAGGTCATATTTTGAAAACTACCTTACTGCTCATCTAATGATAAGTTGTTACCACAGCCTATAAACTTAGCAAAGTGACACCATCCATCTTGACATATCTTAGGCCAGTTGACTATTTCGAGGAAATTTTCGGTGAACTAATCGAAAAAGAAAAAAAAAAAATTGTTTTTAAAGATTGATCGCGATTTCTTACATAATTTTCTACCAAAGAAAAAGCATACGGTATTATCAGAGTGTGCGTATTTTTATTGAAGTCAACTCTGATGTCAATAGACTTGTAATGTAACCTCTAGTTCATGACACAACACTTTCATACAATGTCTCTCGCGTGAAATCGTGATGTGAAGTGTGACCGTTGGGCAAGCCCCGCTGTTTGAGGTCGGACGACGCAATTAGCGGTAATTAGATCGTATTTCTATTACCGATATCCAATATAACACACGAGAATTTTCAAGCGAATAAACAAGTGATTATGATAGAATTCAATACAGCAAAATCTATTGGCAGCGTGTCATGTTATTCATTTTTTAGTGAAATAAGAATAGATTGAAGCTATTTTGAACTTCGCTATGTTGTCTCTTAGTCTGTAAGCCATTTTGAATGGTGTGGTGTGTACTTCAGAGAGCTTGTGTATAAATACCCTATGACAAAATAATACAAGCTGCCCCAGCATTCGAAACCGTTATTTTTTCTGATTGAGGGATCACTGGTGGCCCGGAGGCCTTTCCAGTTTCAAAAGCACAGGTAGGCGAGCAAAGGCTCAGTCAGGAGGGATGGGATTTGCTAACAACTGCCCGAGCGCCTCCAAAGGAGACCTAACAACTCAAGAGCAACTGCTTCGCGAATTACTGCAACGCGGCAGAAATAGGTGGGGGTTATAGTGTCTATCCGTGCGCGCACACAAGACGTTCTACAACCAGCAAATATTTGCTTACTTCAGATTTTCTTTGCAAACTAAAATCTAGATACAAAGATAAAATAACATTCCACAACAGTACCTATTTGATACAATTATGTTGTTACTTGTCCGTTCGTTCAGCCGAGCCCCGATTTCGAAATAAAATTGGCGTTTTGGTACCACCGGCCTATGGTTTCGCAAACTTTTGCGAAATTAATGTACTAACTTAACTGTTTTAATATTTAGCAATCGACTTCCTACAACCTGCATAGCTGGTCATGAGCCGATTTAAACACTAGAACGAATTTAAATGACAACTCGTTGGTCGAGTTGTGAAGTTGCTTATTGAAATCGTAAATTAATAGTGATCATGTCAAATTAGATATTTGAATCTATGTTTGTTCGACAGCACAGATGACGTATAAGTAGTTTGATCCTCGAATCGATTAATTACGAAACAGCTTGGAAGTCGCACAAATACATAAAAAAAAACTTATTAAACTGGTTCCTTAGAAGTTTTTAATTTTTAAATAGTATATCATTTAAATAGTATACCATAAGTCTGTGCATATTAACAAACGAGAAGTCGGATAAAAAAAAAATTAACTAGAATATGGAAGTTGCAATGTTCCTTATCGATAGCGAAATATTATGTATGAACGCCTTGTAGAACGAAGGGAAGAAATATGGAAGTCTATTAGTAAAGCAGTGATTTCTAGAGTAAAACAGCAGATATTTTAAATTATAATAATATAATGTTTATCTTCTCAGGGTCAGTCAACGTCTATGGGTAACCACTTAACAGCAAGTGAGCTCGGTCACGCATCTAGAGGAATGAATAAAATAGTTTCGTTTGAAATTAAATTTTTGTTTAATAATCGATTCTGACGAAATTCATTAATGTTCATTAGCGATAAGTTCACATACTTATAAATTAGCTGTCAAATTAATTTAGCACTATTGTTATAAGGACGTCAATCAATGTTCATGAACAAAACCGCCTCGTGAGTGAAGTAACGTTATGTCGGCCAGGGTATCAACAACCTCGTGGACTTTTACTTTTGTAGCATTATTTATACAATGCCGGCACATACTCTGTACACAACGTAAATTATTTATAGACGAGATCTATCGAGACTATTTGACGAGATCGTACCGCGACATTTTGTTTAAAAGTTTACCTACGACTATGTCGCTTGCAATCGGACCGAAATATCGGGAAATCACCAAGACTTATACTGCTCATTGTAAACTACTTATTACAGTGATCCCCCTTATAATACGGTACTCTTATAACACATTTTTGTTTTACGCGATTTCAGTCTCTCGTATAATAATACATCCTTATTCCCGATATAATGCGGGGATATCACACGTTACAAGTACCTATTTCTGTGCTGTAAAATTTATAATTACTTTGTACAGTTCATAATTGAAGTACATACAAAAGGCAGCAGTTTCTTGAATTCTTACATGTGCTGAAGTAAAAAAAATCAGAAACCATAAAAATTGCTTTCAAAACGATTTAAACTAATAATTATTGATTGGTATATAAGCAAGAAGACAATAATAAATACAATTGAGCTTACGAACTCTTGTCTCAAAAAGATTTGTGGTGTTCAAGTTGCGATATTTACCAGCTTCTATAACAACTGAACAAAAGCTTGACTAAGCTACCCTATTATTAAAAATAATAGTTAAATGTACGGCTGACTTTCTGCTTCGATTGCCCGATATCTATATTGTAGACTAGGTCTTATTCTCGAAGTTACTACAACGTGACCGTGACTACTAATTATTATGCTTAAAAATTTAGTGCGCTCATTAACAAGTCCAGTGCCACACTTATATTGCACGTCACTGTTGCGCAGTACTTTGAACATTTACGAGCGCTTTTGTTCTTTTAGAACTACGTGAATCGGAATTCTCAGCACAATTACGTGATGAACCGAGCTTATTCATTACCTATAGTAAAATAATAAAGTACGAACCTACTAAATAATAGTGTTCGTAAATCGAATGGTCATGCGAGTGTAAACAGTTCATGCTTATTTAGTTTTAGGTTTATTTATTCATTGTATTTTTTTCTCAAAACTTTGAGGCATGCGCTTCCTCCTAACTGAAATAGTGATATAGATAGTGCTACGTGCTTAGTGCAAGTTCCAACTCCATACAAATTTGAGTTAACTTTTACGCGATCGAGAAGTTAAAACTCACACTAAGCACAATGGTGGTGTTTTGCTATTTTTTATTTTTTTTATTGCTTAAATGGGCGGAAGAGCTCACAGTCCACCCGGTGCTAAGTGGTTACTGGAGCCCACAGACATCCACGACGTAAATGCGCCACCCACCTTGAGATATAAGTTCTAAAGTCTCAAGTATAGTTACAACGGCTACCCCACCCTTCAAATCGAAACGCACTACTGCTTCACGGCAGAAATAGGCAGAGTGGTGGTATCTACTCGCGCGGACTCACGAAGGACCTACCACCAGTAATAACAATGAATATAGTACGATTCCAATCAATGTAGACAGTCAGTGTTCCCAGTGAACCACACTCACGTCTACGCTTTTTTTTTCGGGCCGGTGGCCGAACCTCCTACGAGATTCCCGCGCCTAGGGGGCGCGCGGGGTATGTGGGACTCAACGATCTGCAAGGTGTTGGAAACAGACCTCGGACCCAAGGAATTTTAGGACCCGCCCACTAAATGACTCCTCTGCACTCTTACACCCGACATCCGATCTCCGTCCGGGGTCAAAACCCGGTCAGAGTAAGGGGGTTCCCGCGGTCAACACTACAACCAGACACGCGGCGCCACCCCGAAGACGCCCGACTGACGGGTCGTCGAGGCGATAGTCGACGACCAACGACGTCGGTCTCCGCGGTATGTCTACGCTTAACTTAACCTTTATGACGTTCGATATTTTGTGAAGAAATGAACTGCTAATTCGAGTAGTCGCCTAAAATAATACTATGACATTACGAAATACTTTCAGTGGCCTTGACGGGCGTCGTAAGCAATCGTTGCTGTCAAGTGGCGGTCATAATGAAACGTTATTTGAATCATTAATTTTTTTATAGACATGTGATAATATAGTTTAATTGTTATCAATGTTGAACTGAAGCTATTCTAAACGCAGGCAGATACGTATGTATTTTTTTCTGACCCAAATAGATATTATCAATCCAAATAGGACCCACAGAAATAGCCTAAAGTTCCTTGATATTTCGTTAGCAATTTGTTTTGAACTATTTGCCATTAACCTGAATACTTTCCTTGTCACGCCAGAGATCATATCATTTTGAAATATTAGATTCGCGTTTTTTTTTCTTTATTGCTTAGATGGGTGGACGAGCTCACAGCCCACCTGGTCTTGAGTGGTTACTGGAGCCCATAGACATCTACAACGTAAATGCGGCACCCACCTTGAGATAGAAGTTCTAATTTTTTTTATTGCACTTGTATGCAGACGAGCACACGGCCCACCTAATGGTGAGTGATATGATCGCGTCTTCCGGAAACACGCTATCAATGTGTGATCACTAAGATGCTCATCTGAAACTCATCTGAAAATGCTTTTGACTTAATGACAAATATGTA